TCACTCCTGTAATCCCAGCACTTTGGGAGGCTGAGGTGGGTGGATCACTTGAAGTCAGGAGTTCGAGACCAGCCTGGCCAACATGGTGAAACTCCATCTCTACTAAATACAAAAAATTAGCTAGACGTGGTGGCACAGGCCTATAGTCCCGGCTACTTGGGAAGCTGAGGCAGGAGAACCGCTTGAACCCAGGAGGCACAGGTTGCAGTGAACCAAGATCATGCCACTGCTGTCCAGCCTGGGCAACAAAGCGAGACTCCATCTCAAAAATAAATAAATAAATAAATAAATAAATGGAGGAAGGAAGGAAGGAAGGAAGGAAGGAAGGAAGGAAGGAAGGACGGAAGGAAGGAAGGAAAGAAGGAAATACACTGAGATAAATATGGAGAATGCCATCCTTAGATGAAATGATCTTCAAATAAATCAATAATGCACCAGCAGAACACCTTGGAATATTCCTGGGTGGATATGTATTTTATCTGTATCCTATCAATACTCTAAATGCACACATAATTCACATCCTTGGATCTTCCATCCAAATCTATAATCCATCAAAACACTGGATAAGATTTACCTTCACCAATGAAATCCTATTGTTGTTGGAAAATTATTTTGGAGTATTAGACATATAAATATCTATGCCTATGACATCTTCCTCTAATATCAGGGAAGGAGGAAATTGGTTATGATGCTTTGTGGATAGGTGTGGTAGCAGAAAATTATGTATCTTTAAACCCAAAAAGACAAATCAAATAAGTAGTAAGAGATCTAGAAAGAAGGGAAAATATTAGCCCTTAAGAATAATGGTGGAAATGGAGTAAAACAGTATGAATTTAGCTTTAGAGAACTGAGTAGAATTGCAATGGGACTCTAGAAAATGCACTGGCTACTCTAATACGAGCTATCAGTGTGACATCTAAATCATCACTAGCCACTGCAGTTCAGAAAAGGTTAACATTTGGGCCCCTTCTTGTTGAATCTCCATGGCTTTCATTCTAGCCTAAAGCCAAAGAACAAGGCTCACTGGCTCTCTCTGCCAGCCCTCTCACATTCCACACTCTCCCTTCCTGTGCACTCAGTTCAGTAAGCAGCCCACCCGCAGCATCTTCCCTCTTTGATCTTGCCAAGGCCTTTTTCCCACCATCCCTGAAACAATTACCCAAGCCGCTTCCACTCCAGATCATCATAAGACAGCAGCCAGCCAGAAGCCTGGGCTGCCTTGAGCCTTGTGAGAGGATATGCCAGGCATCCATCGAAAATCTCCAGTGAGGTCAAACTGGTAGGGGGTGGGGAGGCTGTCTTTGAATGGGAGAATACCGTGGTTGCTGTAGGACACAGAGCTCTTTTGACTTGGAGTTTAATGAGCCTCCACTTCAATAGGACCTACGTGTCCCGAAAGATAAGGGCAAGGACGGAAAGGCACCATTTACCTCGTTCAGCTGCTGCTGCAATAGGGGCACAGGGTACACCCTGGTTCAAGACCTGGATCAGAGTGACTCACCAAGAAAACAGGTCTAATTTATAATTACAGTGCTATCCCCTCCCCAGCAAGATACCTCCTTCCTGGATGCCAGCAGAGCCAGGTCCATGAAAGAATGCACTGAACTTGGGAGCAAATGAAAGCTGTGATTGCAGGAGAAAGTTCTTTGTAAGCCTGAGGCAACATTTCTATGTAGAGTTTAGAGCACAGTGATTGTAGAGAACTTCAGGCAAGAGAGTTAATGAGATTAGCAAGAAGGAATGAATTTCAGGAAAAGAATCTAAATGAGGTCTTTGTAAAGAGAAAGACATAAATAAATGCAAGGGTCCTCTGACCATTAAAGTAGTCATAACCTTTCCCTGACCACCTTAATGTAATGAGAAGTAGTTACCTGAGTGACCTTGTACTTAGAAAGCTGAAAAAAATAGTATCCTAACAAAAGGTCTAATTTGAGAAAGTTTCCCTAATTTTGATTTGCTAAGTAGGCCAGAGAGGTTTTCCTTGGAAGAACTTCTAAGGCTCGAGAAAAAAGGAAAGTTCATGATGCCATTTGTAAGCTATCACTAAATTATCTGTTTATATGGGACACAGGCAGGTTATCTAACATATCTATCTGCCTTCAAACACAGCCTTACTTGAGCCATTTCCAACAGACAGAAGGATAACTCTTCTATTCATGAATACCTTTCTTGGTTTAGAAATGTTCAATGATTTTGTGAAGCAATCACAATGAAGGCTCCTTCTTAGATCTGTTCCAGAACTACCTGCTTACCCCAAATACCTCCCTGATGATGTTCCAAACTTTGAAATTTCAGCCCTGAAAGAGCAAAACCTAATGAAGACTGAGCAGCAGAAAAGCAAAACTTTAATTAGCAATTTCCTATATCTGAGGATAAGCAAAAGGGATGTTTTCCTTTGAACAACATAGAGGAGACACGACAAACAGCACCCAGGAGCAAATCCAGCTCTGAGAGACTGGTAAAACAAAAAGGGAAATAAGAACCAGTTGATTTTCTCTGAGATGTGGTCTTCCAAGCCTTTATATGTGCTAGAAGTGAGCCGGCTTGAAAGTCGGGAAGACATCACATGGCCTCTGAGATTCCGCTGGGTAGAGGGTGGTAAGCCTGCTCTCCCAGTCAAAGGTTTCACCTCCTTTAGCAAGAGCAACTCAGAATTTCCTAACAATTAGACTCCATGTGAAAGCACAAATTGGATGAGGACTAAAAACTTAACAATAATTGATGACCTCATTTGAAATAAATGCCATCATTCAATCCCAGCTCAATACTTATAACTTCTTTATATTGTAAAGCTACATACATATTTTGGGGAGGGCCCCTGGAAAACTACTAAAAATCTCTAGGATTAATGCCCAGAAAAGCCTCAGAAGTCTGAAGCCAGAAATATATTTCAGGCAACCTTTTCAGCAAGGGCTGCCCAGTGGGAACTAGAAATGAACATTTTCTCCCAAAACATATATTATTTTCATTATTTTCAAACAACCAGTTACCACTGTGACCTCAGACGTTGCAAAGAAAAATGGTTGCAGACACTCTGTCCCCATTTATCTCCAACTGGCTGAGCACCCTTCCCGGAGGGGCAGCCGGACCCTCTGTACGCCCCAATCTCAAAGCAGTCTGGACAAGTTTCTCATAGTCTTTTGAAAAAAGAAAGGCCCAACGAGTGAAGCAATTTTTTAAAAACTTAAAAGATGCAGAGGTTACTAAATCTGAACAAGCACCCACATTTTCTTTTTGGGAGGTGAACCAAAGGATGATTCAGACAGGGAGAAAGGCAGCAGGGTTTAGGGAATGAAGAGTCATGAGATACCAGTTTTATTTCTGGCTCTACCCAACACTGGCCATGTGACCACCAGCAAGCTAACTTCTTCTCAGCAGGTCTCTTAGCTTGCCCTTCTCTAAAAGAATTCAGTCTTACCCCATCCTGTAATTTTCTCTGGAATGTCCTCACAAAAATGTGAGGGAAGGGAACATATGGGGTGTAGCAAAAGGATGCGATAAGCTCCTTAAACCTAGACATCAGGTAAATACAAGTCTTCTCATTTTCTGTTAAGCAACTTAGCATAGTTCTGACATAGACAACTGATGAAGCAAGACATTAACCTGATTTTATACTACCTGAAGTTGGTATTTTACCAAGTCAGGCTAAGGGATATCATGAATTAGATGGCACTACCCACTGGTAAAGTGTGAATTTACAGCCCAACTCCAACAAGCATTTTCATATCCAAAAAAGAAAGCAGAGGAAATTGATAAGTTGGGAAATCTCCAGGAACTAGACCTATTCTTATTGAGGGAAAGGAAGAAAGTAATGAATGAAGGTAGTATAGATACCTCATATACAATAGTCAGAATGCTTTTTTAATGCTATTAAATTTCTTTTGTTTCAAATCTATTTCCCAACTTTGTATGATGAAGGCTTTTTCCCTTAAAACAATTCAAATTTCAGAGCAGAATTCTGTGAGATATGAAATTTTCTTTACCAAGTTACACTTTAGCATCAATTTTTGCTGGAACACACCCATCCCCTGAAGGGCAAAACATCTAAGAGTTAGTAGTCCAGTGCAATAACAACTGACATCCAAGATAAATTAATGACAAGCCAGCAGCAAATTTCCCTCTATTTCACATGAGTACAGTTTGGTGTTGCAATCAAATAGCATCTATGTCAAGTCTAATCAGATACATATTAATCATATGCTTAAGAGTTTTGGGGCCCTTGCATTTGTCAAGGGAAGGCTTCATCTCTGCACACAAATAAATGACAAGTCCATTCCTCCACGTAACTATTTTCTAGAGCTAGCCACTGAGAACCACAGCACAGCTCTTGGACAGTGCATTTTTTCTGACATAAACTGTAAACTGTCCCTGGGTCCCATCCTGTCTCAGACCTCCCAAGATTGCTTCTATTCAAAAACCAATCTGCCAAGTAAGTCCAAGTAAGTAAAGATATGGCCAGCAAGAATCATTTCTGACCTGAGAGGGGACTGACTTCCCACTAAGCCCGGGTAGACAAGGGCTGTTCAGATTTCAAAATCCTTAGAGTACTTTAAGCTACCTCGAATTATTTTCTAGTTTTATAAAGTTTTAAAATACCTGTAAGTGCAGAAATTAAAATAGACATCTATACATATACATATCTATACATCTATATCTATATATACATTTATATATCTGTCATAGTCTTAAGATAGGGCTAAGTATAGAGTAAAAGCTTGGAATATGGGGGCAGTGAGCTTATCATACGAATGAACAAATGGAAATTGTTTCTTGACCCTGGTGATTTCCTATTTTGGAACAAAAGAAAAGAATTTACCAAGAAGAGAAAAGAAAGCAAAGCAAAGTCCACTCACATCAGCACAGTGGAAACTAGGAGCAGCAGATGGCACCTCCCTATTGGGGATTATGCAGCTGCCAATTCACCACAATGTGGAGCCCAGTGTGCCTGATTTCCCAGCCCTCCTACCCCCAGGCTCATATGCTACCTGAGGAAACCATACCTCTTCTTCCAGCTTTACCACCTTGGCCTGGGCGTTACTCAGGGCCTGATCTCGGATTTCGATGTGTCGTCTTTGGTCCTCATTGGTAGAACGGGCAGTGGCCAGCTCCGCTTCCAGCTTCTCCTTCTCACGCTGGCTTTCTTTATCTGTCAGGACATTAAACATCAACACTGCCAGCCTGGAGCTGGCTCAAAGCCTTACCTGAGCAAAACTGACACATCATACCCTTTACTAGATAGCCTACTGTCCTAGTGCACAGCTGAAGAACCAGTATACCCAAGATCTGGACTCTATCACTGGCTCTACCACTAACTTGCTGTAGAAATTCAGAAAAGTCACTTAACACCTTAACGGTTGTTGAGCAGAAGCAATGAGAAAATAGGTGCAATGTGTCCCAAAAAGTATTAGGCATTACACAAAGAATACACACACACACACACACACACACACACACACACACACACACCCTCAGAAGAAAAGGTAGACTCGTCCCCTCAATTTTATTTCTTCCAAATTGTCTTACATTGGCAAAAGAGCAATTGAGCTCAAAACATTTTCCCCATTGTTTCCTCATGACAGTACATTAAATAGAACCAAAAATGACATTTCATAAACTGGATAACAGTTCAAGCCCACCCTTCATGCACTAACATGACTTTGTAACTGAGATCAAGCCTACTTGACAACATGTCCTCTCCACGGAAAACGTAACCCAACACCACCCGCTAACCCAACTCACTTTATCTCAGCATCTGCTTCTCTTGGGAATCCAATGTCTTTTTCTTTTAATTTTTTTTATTATACTTTAAGTTCTAGGGTACATGTGCACAATGTGCAGGTTTGTTACATATGTATACATGGACCATGTTTGTGTGTTGCACCCATTAACTCGTCATTTACATTAGGTATATTACCTAATGCTATCCCTCCCTCCTCCCCCCACCCCACGACAGGCCCCAGTGTGTGATGTTCCCCTTCCTGTGTGCAAGGGTTCTCATTGTTCAATTCCCACCTATGAGTGAGAACATGTGGTGTTTGGATTTTGTCCTTGGGATAGTTTGCTGAGAATGATGGTTTTCAGCTTCATCCATGTCCCTACAAAGGACATGAACTCATCCTTTTTTATGGCTGCATAGTATTCCATGGTATATATGTGCCACATTTTCTTAATCCAGTCTATCATTGATGGACATTTGGGTTGGTTCCAAGTCTTTGCTATTGTGAATAGTGCTGCAATAAACACATGTGTGCATGCGTCTTTATAGCAGCATGATTTATAATCCTTTGGGTATATACACAGTCAAAGATAATACAGTAAAACTGAAAGCCATGTTATGCTTTTATCCTACTCCTTCTCTGGTAGGATAGGCTAGGTGTGGAGTGAACACTGTAAAGAACAGGGCAAAGTTAGATGGAAAACATCAGGATCAGAGGAAGAAAGGCAGCCATTTCACCTGAAAAAACATCCTCTATTTGCAAATCTCCTTTTCTCCCTTTAAGCCTATTAGCGTTTGAAAGTTCAGTTTTTTTTTTAAATAAAGTAATCCAATATGGCTGGGCAGGGTGGCTCATGCCTGTAATCCCAGCACTTTGGGAGGCTGCGGTGGGCGGATCATGAGGTCAAGAGATAAAGACCACCCTGGCCAACACAGTGAAACCCTGTCTCTACTGAAAATACAAAAATTAGCTGGGCATGGTGCCGCACAACTGTAATCCCAGCTACTAGGGAAGCTGAGGCAGGAGGCTGAGGCTGAACCCAGGGGCTGAACCCGGGAGGCGGAGGTTGCTGTGAGCCGAGATCGCGCCACTGCACATCAGCCTGGTGACAGAGCAAGACTCCGTCTCAAAAAAAAAAAAAAAGTAATCCAATATGCTTGTGTGCTTACACACACACACACGCACACATATACATGTATACATACATATATATAAAACGTGTGTATATATACATATATAAAAAACGTGTGTGTTTATATATATATACTTGCATATATACAAAAACGTGTGTACATATACTTCCGTGTGTGTATATGTGTATACAAATATACTCTCTGACCTTAGAATGGAAGAGCTTAGTGGGCACATAATGGTCTTTCTGGCTTGGTTTTTAAAGAGAGCTCAGTTGAGCAGCATCTATGTGAGGGTTTAATAAATATCTGTGGATGGATATAAGAAAAATAGAGGAAGAAAGAACCAGTATGAGACAGTAGCCAAAACTATAATTTTTAGGAGAATGAAGGAACATGATCACAAGCTAGCATTCGTATAAGTTAATACAGATTTATAAGTAATCTCTAAACAGATTTTACACTTTGTTCCACATACTATTCTTATCTCAATCTGCCCTCTTCTAGTGGCTGGCTGTACCTTGTTCCAGTACCCACAGCTAGTGAGAATATCAGAATATTATACCTGAAGTGATATCACTGAATTCCAACAAAGTAATTCTCACTCTTCCCAAATGATCACTTAAAGATTTCATTGCTTGGTCCTAGTTGTAGATGTCTGTTAGTGAAATGGACCCCTTGTGATTCCAGCAGGGGGAGGGAAAAATGAACCATCATGAAACACGCCAGAGCATTCTGTTCTTAACAAGGCCTGCCCTCAAGAGAAACTATTTAACCAGAACCTAATCTATGAGTTTTGGGGATTTTGTTTGCTTGTTTGTTTGTTTCCAGAGCCTAACTGACCCAGGGGAAAGGAAACATCCAACTCCAGTATGCTCTGGCCTTCTACACGAGAGAAAGAAATATCCAGCTGAAGCCCTTTCTAGTGATCCTGCACCACCTAAAGGGGTGAAAAAAAACCAAGATGCACTTGTGAAGTTCAGTCCAGAGGTACAGGCTCAGTAAAAGACTGAGATCTAATCATAGGTCTAGAGCACTTCCCTTTCCCCCAGATTTTACCATCACATCCCGAAAGGCCTATTTACCGCAGTGCCTTTTACCCCGTACATCAGGTCTGCCATTTCACACATGCAAAGAAATAAAAAATAAAAAAATAAAATGAAAAATAAAAAATAAAAAACCTGCAAGCCATACTAAAAGGTGAAATATACAGTTTGAAAAGACAGGGCAAGCATCAGAACCAGACCCCGAGATAAGGCAGGGATACTGGAATTAACAGACTATGAATTTAAAACAAATATGATTCATATGCTAAGGGCTCTAATGAAAAAAGTAGACAGCATGCAAAATCAGATCAATAATATAAGCAGAAAGATAGACATGTTAAGAAAGAATCAACAATGCTAGATGGTAAAACAGGTAATTTTACCATCTTGTTTAACCTCACAATATTTGTAAGGATCAAATGAGATAGAATATTTATTTAAGTGAAAGAAATGTTAGAAAGCATAACCAAACACCAAAAGAACTTACTACATAAAGCAGATGATGATCATCATCACCACGATTAATAATGAGAATCTGTAGATTCAAAACCTTTCATCGTGATACAACAGATTGTGTATACTAATTTTTAGTATGAGAAGGTTGAGAGTCACCTGACCTATAAAATTAGCAATTCCATGTTTCTGAATCAATTCATTATAACTACAGGGGACCATGACACAAGTAGTCATGTCCCATGTCTTTCCTCTCCTCCTAACTAAGACAGACCTCACACCAGAAACTCAAACAAGTAGTTTTGATTTTTTGGAGGTTAAGTGCTCTTCATCTTGAGACTCAAACCTTAAATTATAGGAGAAACTTCAATAAGGCAGCCTCACCTTCCTTCGCATTCTGACTTTGCATTTGGAAAGAAAGGAACATTTGTTGAATACGTATTGCATACCAGGTATTGTACTAGCTTAATCCTCAGAACAACCATACAAGGAAGGCACTCTTCTCTTCTCCCATTTGCATATGAGAAAACAGAGACCCAGACAGCTTGACCAACTTGCACAAGGTCCCACAGTTGGTAAACAAGTAGTGGAGCCCCTATTTACACCCAGATTGGTTCTACTATACTAGGCTGCCTTCTTCTAGGGTTGAGTTGGTTTGGTTTCTCTAGGATTCCTGCAGTACATTCTCCAGAGAGGCTTTTCAAGAGGGCTTTCCTTTCTCCTGCCACAGTTCCAACCATGCAGGGCCCTGTCAATGTCCCAAGCCAAAAGAAATTAGGAGGGACAAGAGTCATGCCCTCTTCCCTGGCTAGTTGGTGAACTTCACTTTTCCCTCCTAGAGCCATTTGACAGTCTTTTGCTCTGCTGGTAATACCGTCTGATTTACTAAGTTAGCACATTGTATAAACCTGTAGAAGAGCTCCTAGGACACCTGAAATACCATCTCCATACAGAGAGGAGTATGATCTAGCTGATCCAGAACAAAGAATCTATACGTTTTGTTTGTTTTGATCTGAAAGTCTGCCACCCTCTTTCTGCCAGTGAACTAGCTCTGAGAGCAACTGTGATACCATAAAAGCAATTTCACAAAAATTTATACTAGGCACTGATGACACCAGAAAAACTACATTCCTTACTCTAAGATATGTTGACAAAGGAACAGGAGGTACACGGAAAAGAAAAAGAAAAAACCTGTTCTGAAGCCAGAGCACAACAGAATAACTCAGGAAGGGAGGGCGGTATTGTAAGTGAAGATCAAACGAACTTGTAAAAGCTGGCTAGAAGCTGCATGGAATGAGTTGAAAGGGTCATTTGGAGACCCAGCAAAGATGGAAGAGACTGACAAATCCCTACTGAGCACAACTACAGCCAGAGCTACACTGAGGGAGGCTGGGGGTAGAGGAAACCAGCTACAGGCATCTGCAGAAACGAGAGCAGTTCATCTGTTTTTCCCCGAGTAATTCTCCCTGTGGACTCAATCCACTACGAAGTTTTTATTGCTGGTTTTATTAAGGCAATTGGAAATAATTAGACATTGTCTAGCTGGGTGGGGTCCATTAGAGACCGATAAAGAAGAAGATTAATTCATTGTCATGGTCCTAGGAGTATTTCCAGACAAAGGAAACACTATTATGAAGACACAGCTCTGCCCTCCCCCACATCCTCCAACTGTGCAGCCAGAGTCACTAGTTCAGGCCATAGGATTAGCTCCCCTTGCAGTCTGCCACTGTGTAACAATAAATACTAGATGCCTAACAAAGGGAGCCCCAGATACAGGTGAAGTATTCCAAACACTATCATCAATCCTGCACATTAATCCTATCTCTACCAGAGCCAGCACACGGGATCTTCTAAGAAAATCCCTTCAACATGAAGGGACCTCATATTCAGTAAGGCTCTTTATTTAGGTAGCAATGACACTAGCAGGGATTTCAACAAGCTTCTCTAGTTTAATGCTGAAGGAGCAATGTGATGTGACAAGATGTTGTGGCAAGCAGCCTTCTTGGTTGGCTTAGGAGGAAAAGAACAGAATCTTCCAACTTCATGCCTGAATAGGAAAAACAATCCTTAGGTGATATTGACTCTGCCCTGGCTGTTCTAAAAGGCTAAAGAGAACAGTGTAATCTTTTCACGCACCTTGCTCCCATCCACACATGAATACCTGTTTCTGCAGCTTGCAGACTTACTTTTTGCAAAGAGCTGCGAGATGGTTTTTCTGGTGTCCTCTGACCCTTCATATTCCTTCTCCGCAAGCTGCTTGTTGGCAGTCTCTAGACGCTCTGTGGAATTTGGAGACAATCAACAGGGTCTCAAATATAAACTATCATGCACATACTATTGGCCCTCTAAATACTGACCTTTGGTAAAACAAGCCTGTTTCTTCTTGTTAAACAGGAATGGGTGACTAACATGAGTTTGCAAATGTGAATCCCAAAATAATACTAGACCATGGCCGGGGAGGAGGAGGTAAGTATTTAATGCTTTCACTCCTCACTGCCAAAACCTAAGTTAACTGCAGAATTCTAAATTTCAATGAAATTATCCTTCCCCAAATATATAAAGATATCTTTCATTAACCAGAGAAAAAGAGCATCACAGTTACTATAAAGTCTTTAAACTCATGTAATGTCAAAGCTAGAAAGGGACAACTAGCAGCACGTAGTTGGGCTGCCTGACTTCAAAGATAAAATAACCAAAATTCAAAGATAGATAGTAATATCCCTGACCAGGCACGGTGACTCATGCCTGTAATCCCAGCACTTTGGGAGGCCGAGGCGGGTGGATCACCTGAGGTCAGGAGTTTAAGACCATCATGGCCAACATGGCAAAACCCCTTCTCTACAAATACAAAAATCAGCCAGGCATGGTGGCACACACTTGTAATCCCAGCCAGCTACTGGGGAGGCTGAGGCAGGATAATCACTTAAACCTGGGAGGTAGAGGTTGCAGTGAGCCAAGATTGTGCCAGTGCTCTCCAGCCTGGGTGACAGAGCAAGATTCAAACTCAAAAAAAAAAAAAAAAAAAAAAGAGAGAGAGAAAAAGAAATAAAGTACCATCCCCAAGTCAGTAGTTTTGAACGTGCTGAAGGCACTTTAAAGTAGAAATATTTCCCAAAGTCTTCAATATTATCAGGTGAAAGTCAAAAATAAAAGGAGTCAGTGAGTCCTGGAAATAAGAGAGGACATTATACTTCAAGCTTGCACGGTCCAAGGGCATGCCTCTGCAAAACCTGTTAAAAAGAAGAGGCAGCACCTATTGTGGGAGTGGGCCAGGTGGGTCCAGGAGTCCCAGCAGGGATCCTGCCTGATAAACACATCAGCTCATCGCTCAGAAGACCAGTGAGGTGCATCCATACTTTGATCAATCAAGCTTGGGACTGAGCACTATTGCAGTCATAAAAAATTAGCCTGGCACATGCCCAGCCATTTACTGCCCATACCGGTGGGTTGGACAGCCCCAAGGAGCCTAGTTGAATCTTGCTCAGCCCTTCCCTTCACCACCCTGCAGTTGCTTCAGAAGTACAAAGACAAGTCTTTGGTTCCCTCACCTCTCAGATCCCTGTTGAAATCATGCATCCTCCGAATCTCGCCCTCTAGCTTGTTTCTCATGGCTTTCTCTAGGGCCTCTCTTTTGGAGGATGACTTCACGAGGTTCTCATATGCCTCTGAGACGCGCTGGATTTCTGTCTCCACCTTAACAACAACAGAAAAGAAGATGGTGGTGATGGTAGGAGGTTGATGGGGAAAATGGTCTGAAAACAAACATGCAAATCCTCGGTGACAGCTTCTTCCAGGGCTCACAGATGGCCAGGAGGCAAGCATAACACAGTCAGACGAGAAAAGTTTCAAGGAAGGATCTCCACCTTCAACCATAAGCTTAGTAATTCACTCATGGTGTCATGGTCTTTCCTCGGGTTAAAAAAATAGACACTTTCTACCTTCAGAGGAGATGGTAAGACAGAATAAATTTTATAAATAGTTATAAAGAATTTTAATTTCTGAAGAAAACTCTTAATTTTGAAAATATTAGTAATAATATATATAGTATATAGATACTTTATTCCAAAGCATTCAAAGGGCTTTCACACGTTGGTTCCAGTCTGTACTGATTATCTGCCTAATAAGCAGGATATCTCTTCTCATTTTAGCAGAGAGAAAAGTTAAATTGCCTCTGAAGAGCAACTGTCAGCAGCAGAGACCAACCCTAAAAACCCCAAGTTTCATGAAGCAGTTCAGTTCAATTTAACAAACATTTACCAAGGACCAAATATTTACACCAACTCTTTAAAGTACTATTGGGGGTGTGTAAATATGAATGAGAACATTTTCACTGCCCTCAAGGAGGTTTCAATCCAATCGAATGAAAGAATATAGGGCAAGATATATCTTTAAGAAAAGTAGAAGTAGTGCCATAAAGTACAGACAAGGAAGAAGTTATTCCTGTTTGGGGGAAGTGGGGAGGAGATGGGAAGAGGTGGCATTTAGAGTCAGATCCTGAAAGCTGGGTCAGATTTCAATGAGCAGAGGTGAGGGGAAGGGTATTCTATTCTGAGTAAGCAAATGCATTCCCAGAATGACCAGTCGTCTAATTTGGCTGGACACTGTGGGGTACACAGAGGGAACCTGGCGAGATATGGCTGCTAAGATAGACTGGAGTCAGATCATAAAATGCTTTTAATGCCAGGCATTTGGGCTTTATCCCATAGTCAGTGGGAAACCAGTATAGATTTTTGAACAGAAATTCATAATCAGAGTTGTGTTTTATGACACCCCTGCAAATCTCATAAAATGGGGAAAATAAACTCAAAGAGAAAGAGTCTTGCTCTGAATCAGCCACAATCAGGCAGAAAATGAGAAATTAGACTCCACAGTCTTTCTGTAACTAGTACAGCTCCATTGCACATATAATAACCACACAGATATTTCCATATAATGTGTATAAGACAAATAAACTTATGGCCTATTAAGCAATTTTCAGATTAAATTGGACTCTGCAACCATTCTGCATTCCTTCTGTGTTTTCCACTATCCTGTTTAACAAAGCTCAGGGTACTTTCTGGGGAGAAATATCAGGCCCCTAGTGGGACACTAGAGGAAAGGTAAGGTTGCCAAACCAGTCAGATTCAACACGCCTCCATGTCCAAAATTCTGCCAGAGACAGGACTGCCTGCAAACAAATAAGGCTTACACCACAGAAAAGAGCAGACTCAAAAGTGTTTTTCTCTTCACAGATGGCACCAAGATAGCAGCACAGAAGGTGAAAACTGGTGAATGGCATTTAGAGACAAGATCTGCAAGGCCTGCGCCTGATGAAGCTTTTGCATGAAACTCAAGCGCTGGGGACAGAAAATAAACATTTCTATCTGAAAGAGCAGGCTTGGTGTTGGTCTGCTCTGGGCAGCACTTGTAGTTCAAGGCTGTCCAGTTGTGCACAGAATGCAACACCTGGAAGGCAGTACCTTTCCTTAAGGTGTGCAGACTGCTATTTCAAGATCTTATACTAATCCTTCCCCTACCCACTGTATAGATACTCTATCCTTCAAAAGGGCAAGTCCCACAGCTCTCAGTAGGGCCTTCCAGGAAAAGCCATCACAGAAGGATAGATCCACTGGTTTGGGCTGGGTGATGGTGGGAGCAGAGAGGAGGGTGGCAGCGGGTTTTCCAGACTTACTCTGTCTACTTATTCCCCTCATGAGCCTCGGGCCTTTTCATTTCCTCCAGCACTACCTGGGATCTACCTTAATTTTCCCCACTTTTCTTTTCCTCTCCTGCTCCACCTTCCCCTCTACTCTACCTCGACACTGGGTCAGCCTCTACTTTCCCAACACTCAAGCTGTTCCAGTTACTTATTTGAGGCATCTTTTCCCATCTTGGGGAACAAACAACAGCAATCCTATTCTGTTCCTCTTCCCTGTCACTGGCTGAACCCACTCACAGACACACACACACACACACACACACACACACATACAATCACCCTGGATCCTTTGGCAAAAAGGGTCCGTAGAAGAGCTGGGTTCATCCTTCAGTGATTGTATCAAAGATGGGCTGGGATCACTCTGAAGAGAGAGTTTGGAGAGGGGGTGTCAACTGCTAACCTAATCAGCCAGGTTGGGTTTCCAGTGTATGGATATAATTAATTTATTCCACCAAAGTGATGGGGGCAGGGATATAGTTAAAATGAGGGGGTGAAAATACAAAATCAAGGAATAGCCGGGAAGAAACAATTCTCAGAGCACTCCAACAACCCTCATCCAGATTTAGGAAAACTAAGGGACAGGGAAGCCATTTTCCTATATAAAAATCCTGTTTGCCAGGCGTAGTGGCTCACGCCCGTAATCCCAGCACTTTGGGAGACCGAGGCGGGCGGATCACCTGAGGTTGGGAGTTCAAGACTAGCCTGGCCAACATGGAGAAACCCCGTCTCTACTAAAAATACGAAATTAGCCAGGCGTGGTGGCACATGCCTGTAATCCCAGCTACTCAGGGGGCTGAGGCAGGAGAATTGCTTGAACCCAGGAGGCGGAAGTTGCAGTGAACCAAGGTTGCGCCATTGTATTCTAGGCTAGATGACAAGAACGAGGCTCTGTGTCCAAAAAAAAGAAAAAATCCTCTGCTGATAATAAGCCCCCATCTCCTTTAGGCCCCCAGATTTGATGTCTGTTTACAAATACTCAGCTCCATTCAGGCCTCTGAAATTTCTACTCCTGGTGTTTCCTAAGGACAGAGTTTCTGGACAATACAAGGCATCCCCCTGTCCCTTCCCCACCTTCACCCTCACCTCTCTGAACAATTCACATTGTAGGGAGACCAAACCACATGAGCTCCACAATGACAAAAGCTGCAAAGAAGCTGCCACAGGCATAACGCTATTCACTAGCAGCCCCTGGAAGCCAAGAGCTAAGGTTCCTCGCTTGGGGTACTCCAGAGCTAAAGTCCCAGCTGCAGGAGCGGGGCGGGCAGAGAAGAATGTGAACTGGAGATACAATCCTTTTTCTATTTCCTCAGCCTAGGGCTGTCACCTGTCACCCAGCTGTGGTGTTAAGCCCCTCCTGCCCCCAACACACACCAGAGAAAGAGAGCAGATGTTGAATTTGAGCTGCAGAGAGGGACCAAATCAAAGGGTGGGGAGAAGGGATTGTTGAAAGAGAGTTACTATGAGAACTCCCACTAGGAAAAGTATTCTGAGCCTTTTCCAGAACAAGGCAGGACCGCTCTAACTTTAGCTGGTGAGATTTTTCTAGGAACTACATTTATTTTTACATTTAAGATTCAAATTCATATTTGGGAAAATGTGACCAAGACAATGAGCCTTAAGGTGCTGTCAGATCCTTTACCTATACAGGCATCACCAGTATTCTTATCAAGAAGTATCACTGCCTTTTGGAATTCTAAAAGAATCAATTGCGTTTTCTTTAGGACTATAGCATCTGGAAAAACTGTATAATTATTTTTCTCCTTGTGTAAATGTAAGACATTACTTCTCCTAGGTAGACAGGTAGAAGGCTTTTTCCGAAGTTTGACCCATATCTAACCTCCAGATAGAAAAGTCCTGAAGATCTGCCACAAGTAATGCTGGGATTCACAAGTGGACACTTTAATGTGGATATTAAACAAGTCCCACAAATAAGACTTAGAGGCCCTAATATCCCAAAACGGAAGCCTCACCTTCTGCAGTCTTGCCACCTTCTCATAGCATCCTTCCAACTCCTGCCGCAAGTTCCGATTCTCATCTGAGAGGATCTCAACCATCTGCTGGGCTCTGGAAACAATGGCAAAAGGGTCTGCTGGCACTGGCTGATAAGAAGCAGAGGATGGCTGAGCCCGAGGCATAGCTGAATAGGCCTCTCCTGGCTGCTGCTGTGGCTGCTGCTGCTGCTGTTGGTGGTGATGATGATGATGGTGCTGCTGCTGCTGTTGCTGCTGCTGCTGACTCAGGCCAGGTTGGGAGAGACGATAGTGATCCCCCTGGTGAGCCTGATTAGGAAGGAAATGCTGCTGCGGCCTAGGCAGGTGAGCTGAATGGTCTCCCTGGTTTGGGACCAAGGGGTGTCGGGCAGGAGACAATCTAGTGGATGCTGGAGATTGTAGCAAGGGCAAGGACCCCCCAGAGGTCAGAGAAGAAGTAGGGCTGTGAGGCTGAGAGTTCCTGGTTGACAATGGCAATGAGATGTCCTGCGCTTGCCTGTAAAACATGAAGGGCAGGTGCGGGTTAATTTCTCTCCCAAGGCACTGGGGGAGAAGGGCTCACAAAAGTGAGATGAGGAGGCTTCTGATGCCCCCAGGACACCTGCAAAATGAAGGGCAGGCAGGGTCTGACTATGGGGAAGTCTAACCCTGCCTGCTCTATCTCTGCAAAGACTACAGCCCTTTTCCAGCCTGACTTTCTGTGACTCTGCCTGACAAACAGAGGTGTGATCCCATGAGGGTCAGAACCAGACAACCTCCATGGTCACTTTGTGAAAATCATAGTGATACACACTTGTACACCCATTTGCTCAAGTCTAAACATTTCAAACCATTCTTCTACAAGGTAATTTTCATCTCATTATTTTAAATTAAACCTTTTCTGACATTATACATGTGGTACAGCACACATAAAGATCCTAGTTAAGAAACTATGTTCCATTTGCCAGGAAGGAAACAACGAACAGCCATAGAAACCACCCCTCATCTTGCTATCTGCACCTCCCTTTAGTAATTCATACATTCACCAAAAAAAAAAAAAAAAAAAAAAAAAAGGCAAAACAAAACCAAAAAAAACTATTCAAGGATTGGTAGATACTTACATTACAGACACTAAATAATTATTGTTGCTTCCAGTTGTTAATGATTTAATGATTCCCATTAGCAGTAACCATAAAAAGACTTGAAGAGGGTTACAAGCAATGCTAACATACTATTTTTGGTGTAATGAATCACAAAATGTAAAAACTGGAAAGGCCTTATAAGAAATTTATTTAGTTCAACCCCATCACTGGACAGATGGGGAATGAGGTCCTGAAAGGGGAAATGATCTGCCAAATATTAGAGTGGTAGTGCCAGGGTAGAATCCTTCTTTCCCAATTCCCATTTTCTGGCTTTTTCTACTACTATAATACATTGATTTCTGTGTACTGATATTCAGATTTCCAGCCTATTGGTCATAGAAAGTTCCAGAAAGAGACCTTTGGTACATTGTTTAATGTGGCTCTCCCATTTTTGTACCCAATTACCAGGTACAAAATGCTAACATCTAGGTATAAACAGTTCATACCTAATGACTATTAGCCATTAAGGGAAACAATTAGAGTATGTGGATGGATCACTTCCACTGTCACCACTACCAGGAATAATATCTGTCAGTGTGCACTGAAGACAAAAAGCTTGTTCATCCCCTAGCTCATGCCCAATTAACCTCATATGCTCCCATGTCCTGTGGACGCTTGTTCTACCGTTGGTATTTCTCAATCCAGGGAAGACAGATGGCTAAGTGCATGGGATCTGGATCCCAACAGAGGGAGTCTGGAGACCTCTTCTGCTGCTCACGAGCTGTGTAACTTTGTGCAAGTCACTTAATCTGCATGAGCCCGTTTTATTCTTGAGGTCACAAATAAATTGCAAAAATACTGAGGTCTTCTCATTTTTGGCGCAACAGGAATTACAGAGAGTCACTTCTCTACCTCCCAGTGAGATAAGCTGATCTTGTTAGCTTGTTACTTAAAGGATATCCATTTAATCTTTGCAATAAATTGCATAAAATTCATGGTGGAACTGGGACAAATAACCAGGAGCAATTAACTTTTAACTGGCATTCCAGATGCTAAAGCACATTCCTCACACACACACTCCATTTACCATTACTGTTCATTTATCCATGTTTACAAGGGATCTTCACTATAAGGGCTTTGTATAGCTATAAAATCATTCCAAACACTTTCTCATGGATACTCAATAACCTAGATCTTCCCAAGAGTCCTCAAACCTGTTCAAACCGTGGATTCTGTCGCTCAGCCCCATCTATGCCTCTGGTGTACCCACATTCTTCCAATCACATACATCTGTCATTATAAATAATTGCTGAATATTGAACACGGCATGCGAACTCTTTGGGCAAAGAAGAATTGACATAGTACTCATGAGTACAACTGGAAAGTTGCTGCCATACATAATATTTTTCCCCAGAGCTCAAAGCACTCATTCAATCAAAAGCCTGGGAGTTATTTATACATTTATTTGGTGAAGAGTTCCTATTTTCCAGTCTATGGATCTTCAGTTTCCTCACAGGTAAAAGACTATGTGCTCTTTTCTCTCTTTGAATGAGAGCTATTATAATTTCTACATGTCTACAGAGTTAAAATATAATGTCCTGAGATTTGTTGGGGCTTGTGTGCCTCTTTTCTGCTTTGTGGGCAGAAAAGAGGGGCTTAAGTTTCATGTTCTCCAATGCAGCTCTCAAATTTTAAGGGGAAAAAAAATCACTATATTAACCTTCATTTTTGTTCCCAGAATTTGCAAGTCCAAGGCCTGGAAGGTATTCTCTTTTAAAGATTTAACGTCCAGTTCTGAATTGGGCTTTCTCTCCACAGCTCCCCTGGGCCTCATCAAGCAACCCAGGCCTCTCTCTCAAACAAACTCAGCCACTGGCCTCCCTCCTGCCTGGAGACTGAAAGGCCCCTCCACTCCCTGGACGACAGCACATGGCCTTCCAGGGACCTTGGGAAGGAGGAGACCATGAGGTCTCCAGAAGGAGGTCTCTGGGGTCAGATAAGCTGAGGATGAAGATAAACAGAGACAAGGCAGCTGCCCCTCAGTTCCCCAGACTGGAAAAGGAAGCAGATCTCAGTGCACTGTGATGTTGGGAAAACCAAGGCAGCCCGTCACTGGCTGGTTTGCAAACAAGCAACGGCTTGGGCAGTCGCAAAGGGAGAGAAAGCCCTTCAGTGAAGAACTCAATCTGGGCTTCAGCATCCACTCACCAGGGAAAAGCAGGATGGAATGAACACTGGGGTGAAGCTCCCCCTGAGAAAAAAGGATTAAGGAATGACAGGGGGTAAGGCAGAGTGTGTGTGTGTGTTGGGCGGAGAGGTGGGGGAGGGATGTCAGAGGAAGCCAAAATACACCCCAAATTAAATAATAACAGTAAGAGTAATGACAGTAATAATAAAGGTGGCAGCCACGTGAGCAGCACACTCTCCAGGTCCTTCCAGCACACAGCAGCCTGAATCGCTCCCCACTGACACGTTAACCAGGAACAACAAGCCGCCTGCAGACAACAGAATCACATGATTCCATGCAAGCCCTGACCTGCCTCCCGCCACTTCCCTCCCTTCATCCTGCTCCTTCCTAAGGCTACCTGGGCAACTGGGGCTCTGCAGAAAAGGGGACATAGCATACATGCAGGACAAAGGCCAGTGACTAAAATCAGGATCCTCCCCAAAGTTGGCGGAATGGGGGGTGGGGTAGGGGGTACACTCCTCCCAGAGACAGTAGTAAGAACACAAAGGGAAAGTAAAAGCCACTCCACCCAGCTGACATAGCACCTTCCACCCTGCCACATCGATGACTGGGAGTCCTCACCCTCTGCAGCCACACACACATGCACACATGTGCATGCACACACACTCCACACTCCTGGCACACACATGTGCAATCCTGCACACACACTCTCACCAGAGCAGGTGCCACCCAATAGCCTGGAACTCGACTGATCCTCACCACAGAAACTGCCTTTCCCAGGCTCTGCAGTGGTGAATCGGTGAATCTGTGAATCCTGGAGCAGGCTGCAAATTCCTGATGGTTTCTCTTGCACAACCAGCTCTGCTCTGAACTACAGAGTTAGGTCACCCTTAGATTCCACTAAACAAGGATTTCAAGAAACCTCAGATCTGGGCATGATTTCAACAATTGAAAGGAGGTGGCTGCTTTATAAACAGAAATGATTTAACTTTTAAAAGCAGTTGATAAATATATAAACCCAGGATGCAGAAAAGGTTCAGCACTTAGAAAGACAAAGACTCTGAAATTTTAAAATTCTTCAGATGGCTTGGCCATGTTTCTCATCCGGAGTTCTGGGCATTCAAGGTATTTATTTTTTAAGTGGGGAGAGGAAGACATAAGAAAGATGAAGTAATAAAAGGATTGTTTATAATTTTGTTCATTTTAACAGCAAATCTCCAGCAGTTCACTGCATCTCTAAAAGCAAACAAATGTTTTCTTAATAGCAATTTGTTCAAAAAGCTTGCTTTGCATCCTGATCTGTAATTTGTGGATTAAGGGCTCAGAATGTAGTCTTCTAATTGGCTGCTGCTAGCAGCAGTTACTTGGAAAGGTACTCAAAAACTGTATAGCTAGTTGGTTAAAGGAAATAGAGGAGGGAAAATGTGTCACCACCTTAAAGCAGTACACTTCTGGAAAGCAGTTCAACTACCTCCTTTTGCCAGTAATATGTCAATAGGTGCCACTCCCTCACGCAGGGCCCTGCAACAATTTTACAGTCAGAATTTGCCTGATGCAGACCCAGATTTCATATGGAGCATCCTCCCACTAGGGCCATTTTAGGTTTGCTTATTCATCAAGCATTATCAAGCACTCTGCTGCTCTCCCATAGAGAAAAACTTGTTACAGCAAAACTATGTATTAAAATGTTGCTCAACAAGGGTAGATCAGCATGGGCTCTGTTGCTTTTGAGGACAGAAAGAAAGAGAAATCCACAGATAACTTAGGTGGGAGGATAAAAAAATATGTATCTTCCTGTAAAATACATGCAGCTAAATTTCTCCGGTGGTTTAATCAGGATGGGAAAAAAGAAAAAAAGAAAAAAAAAAAAAACCTCTTTGGGCTCCCTATTATTTATTTAGGGAGATCAAAGGGCTTTTCCATCTAGCTTCAAACACTGTGGGAGTCATTTCAGATCACAAACAATACTGGTGAATGAGTTCTGAAAATAGCTTTCCTAGGAAGGCGGGCTGTGTGCTGAGTGGGGCTGTGGCTTCTGCTCCACACCCCAGCCAACACACTCCCCTCCCACAAGGCAACAGACGTCAGCCCATCAACAGACTCTTCCATACTGATGGGAAAAGTAAAACAGAAACCCCCAGCTTCATTGATATTTTGCTGGCTTGAATGGGTTTCCACTAAGTGAAGCAGTCTTGAACAGATCAACCTTTCCCCGGGTCTTCCGTTTCATTGGTCAGATGGGAATCTGGTTCCTGATCTCTTTTAAACCTGAGTGGCCCTGTCGGTTACCCCATTTCCTGTTCCAAGACACTTATCAGAACATAGGCTCCTGCCCTTTGAAAGCTGCACAGAGGAGGTTGAAAAGGGTTAGGAAATCAACCTGGGTTAAGAGGGAAAAAAAAAAAAATCCTAAACTGGCAATGTTAGGGGTGGAGTCCAAAGCGAACTGCCTCTGGCTTAAAAAACAGGACCTGGAGGGCAAAACAAAGAAATATCAGGAAATGCTAGGTGCCTTCTCTTACTTTCACCCTACTCCACCCCATGACTGCCTTCTCTCCTGAGTCACTCAATGAACTTCAAGCCAGAAGGTTTTTTCCAAAATAAGCAAGTAGGGTACAGGAGACAAAGAGGTAGACATCAAAGGACATCACAGACCTAGTCTGTGAGCTGCATATAGATGAAGGCCAGCCTAGGACCAAGCACTTCAAACCTGAAGGCCACCCATCATTACTCACGGTCGTGGGGCAGGATACCACACTTAAATGCCACCATCGGTGCCCACAGTTTAAACCTTTTCTCCTGCCCTATATGTTGAAATACTACTGATCAGAGACATGGCTCAAATACTAACAACAGGAACAATGAACAGAATCATAGAATCATAAGATCTAGTGAATATAGCAGTGGGACAAAGGACCTCTGAATAATTAAGAAGTATATATAGGAACAACTAAGTATATAAGACAGAAATTGTAATATTTTTCCTTCTGTATTTTAGCATCTGACTAAAATTTCTATATGATGTGATGGGAATTTAACTCAAAGGTTTAAAAATGTGACAGGCAACTAATAAATTTTCTACCAAAAAAAGATACAACAGTCCAGATTTCATAAACTGCAAGCATAAGGCAAGTAACATTCTGAACCTACATACATACATAGCTCCCCCACCATAACATCTGGGTATTTGTTTAGTGTCCAAAAGAATAATGGTAATTCTATGGAAAAATGATAACTGACAAGAAATACACAGATTTGTTTGCAAAAATAAATGATGAGAACTTCATGGAGGGGAATATGTGCAAGTGATAGGATGTTCCAGACTAATTAAAGTGCAAGGTAATTTGCTTCTACTTCTCAAGGAGGGCTTATGAGAAACACAGACCCCTTCTTCAACATCCTAGGAGACAGGACAGCGAATAGCTGCTGAAATCAAGACTTTTGCTCCTGTTCATCCACTAGGCAGTTGAGGCCACGCTCAACCTACAAAGCTAAGGGATTGTTAATACAGTGCTAATTATGGCTACAGAGGCTACAAATTCAGGCTGGCAGGCAATTCTCTAAGCCAGAAGCCTGTCATGCATTGCAGAGTTTGTTATACCAAACAGCTGCCCATTCCTTCCCTAAGATTCCCAACACACAGCAGAAGCTGGTTGGGGATGAGGTCAGGAAATGACAGAAAGAGAACTCTCTTACCTGGCTGCTCCATACTCAGGGGGATGCTGATACCTCATCAGTTGCCCCTCTGTTCTCCCTGGCTGGTTCAGGCGATGCTCACTATAGAAGTGCCCTGGCTCTTGGGGCTTGCACACTACAGATTGGGGTGGCATGCCCTTGAAGGGATACTCTGGTGGGGGGCCTCGGTGTTCCATGCCCTTCAGGCTATGCTGGTTAGGAAGTGGCCCTTGGGCCTTGTAGAATTCACTGGAACTTGTGGGATTCTTGTACAGGTCATTGGGTTGTGGTGGGGAGAGGGGAGCACTGGTAACAGGTGGATGGGCCTTAACTCCACTGGTGGCCAGTGACATCTGCATTAGTCGTTCACTCAAGGAACGGACATGCCCTTGCTTAAGGTCTCTGAGTCCTTCATCTTGGTGCATCTTTCCAGGATTGAGTCGCTGAACTGATGGGCGTCCCTCGGTCCTCATCTTCTGGTTGGTGACTCCAGTGACATAGAAGGCAGCTCCAACACTGGCATGCTGTTGGCCCCGAAAGTACTGGGACTGAACCTTGGCTTCTTCATAAGTTGGGAGTTCTTCATTATTCTGCATTCTAGGAGACAGTTGCTTCTCCATGATGATGTTTTCTGACTGGATTTCCTGCCCCTGGGGTTCTTGTCGAGCAGCATGAGCCACAAGCTGTTGGTGGTGGTCTTGGGGACTCAACACATCACTCTGAGGGCCCAGGTTCCCACTGCCAGTGGAGAAAGGAGGGCCATTCCCTGTGGCTTGCTGGTGTATGGCAAGTAGGCTGCGATTCTCACTAGGATTGCCATAGCGAAGCTGCTCTTGTAGCAAACGCTGCAATACTGTGGTCCCTCCACTTGGCTGTTCTTCAGAATTTCTCATCTCTATTGCTGGTGGTGCCTTGTGAAGAGAGAGAGAAATTGGGCACCTGGGCTGCCCTTGACCTGGGAAGGGGAAACAGGAAGCTTAACACCCAGTTGATGGATAAATTAGTCCTCTAAAGGGAATGAAAATGGATATTGGAGGGTGAGGATTCTATTGCAGAAACAAAGTAGAGAATTTAACCTAAAATTAATAGATTTTTGGGGATTCCAGGCCCTAGCACTGATATGATGAGGAAAGTGGAGGCATAAGAGCTCTAGGTTTCCTCTTTCACTTTTGGCATGAGTTAAATATTCAATCTGGACTTAACTCCTAAGAATGCTTGAGAAACCTGGAACAGTCAAGTAGGGTAATTAAAGTGGGTAACTTTTCAAGGTCCATATTCACAGGCTTCATCTCTCTGTATTCTATTTAAGGTAAAAACCCAAATCTTATTACTGTGGAGGTGGGGGCAGGACAGTGGGGAAAATTACCCCATAACAGGATTTGTAAAGCAGCTCAGCATATGAAGCGAGCTACAAAATGCAAAATAAAGACTCAAATAAATAAAAGGTGAAGAGAGTTTGGCTTGCACCAGATAGTAATGATCCCTGCCTCGATGCAAATCTTTTTCTCTGATCTCATAAGGCTCTGAAACATCTTTTTAAAAAATCATTTTTGTAGTGTCCATTTTGGATGCTGCTTGGCTTAATAAGAGAAGGACTTGGAATACTTAATACTGACAAAGTTGCCTTTCAGCCCTCCAGAAATAGTCATCGAGATTTGTTGTTGTTGTTATTGGGTAGGAGAAGCTTAAAGGGGAAGCCTCTTTTATTTGAAGTGTGCCTCTGACAAAATTTAGAAATTGAAAAATATAAAGACCATCCTTCTGGAAAGGGTGTATGATTAGCGTATCCCCTCCCTCACCACCAATTCTTCTAAACAGGTAATATGGGTTGACTAAAACTGATAACTTTAGTAACACAATTTAATATTCAAATTCTAATCATACTATTGGTTTACAGGGTATACAACTGATTCCTCTTTTCTTGACGTCTATTTTCTCAACTGAAAAATGACTGGTAGATGACTTCTCTCTCTCAGCACTGCACAGTATACACTAATTCATTAGAGATTCAAAAATTCTTTGGACAGAATCTGTCATGTTAAGTATTGGAATTAAATAATAACGTTCAATAATGAAACTCTCACTCTAAGGATCTTTAGTAATTGGTGGAGAATGAAGATAATGTCACACAAAAAGTCACAATAAAGGTCAATTTAACCCGCATCAGGTTTCTAGATGGCAACTCTGGATCCCTGGCTCCCAGGCTCTTATTTCTATGATATTAAGTGGCCTGCAATCTCTCTGGAAACATGAACCCCCTTCCTTTGGTCATGCAGAGACAGAGTGACCCAGAATGTATATATAGTATATGAAGAAAGTTCATCTTCTCTCTTCACTTCTTGTTGGTTACTGCTACCTGGCTTCCAACTGTTGTGCTGGGCAGTCTGACAACACGAAGGGACCCTCCAAAGTCCCTTTCATCATATTCTCTTGGGAAGTGCACACCAGTGGGGTAAGCAACCAGTCCCTTTTCCATTCCTCCCAATGTGCCTCCAGGACTCCTGTACTTGAACTGTCAAATTGGGATATTCTGATAGGTTGATAAGCAAAATATATAAATCTTTTTTGGTGCCCAAAACTAGAGAGATGACTACCAAATTACTTTTCCTTGCTCAAAAAATGGAAACAGGAACATGTATGGTGTTAAAGCAAAAATGACTTACATACGCTCCCTGCAAGGCAGGGAAATGCAGACACTGAGCTGCCCTGGACCCTGAAAAGTATACCACCCCCTCCCACGTCACATCCACCCCACCCTGCATGCACACAGTCACACATGCATACACACATGCACACACACACACACACAGAAATATTCCATACCTATTTCTGCTTTCTTTTAGGCTTAAAGCCTTGATCAGGATAGGGAATTCTTGCTTACGAGCAGCTCCAGAAACCGCAACGGCAGATTCCCTCTCCCCTAACACTCAGGTTCAGGGTAAGCGCCGCCAAGAGTCCAACCACTGGTCACTCTGAAATGTTCAGGAGGGGAAGGGAGGGAGAAATAAAAACGTCGTTTCTATTTTGCCACCAATGGCCAGCAGTTAACCAAACCAGTTCTTCCAAGAGAATGACTTGTCCTCCTATGGTGCTTGGCTTTTAAATGAGTAGCAGAGTCCATCTCCACTAGGGCAGAAAAGAAACCTCAGTGTCCAGCAGCTGTGTCCGGAAAGACAGGCCGGTCTCCAGTGATGGAAATGTTCAGGTCTGAGACTAGAAAGGCTTGCTCTGTTCTGACCTCACAGCCCTAGAAAGCTACCACTTCCATTCCAAGTTGGAAGGGTGGATGATGACAAAAGCCAAAACCACTGTCACCTTTAGGGTACAACCTTTAAACTGCTATTAGTAGCAGGGGAGGTTAGTGAGGCTCACTGTCCCACATCCCAGAAGGGAGTGCAGTCATCATAAGGTAGGTTTTTGGTCAAAAAAAGAACACTCAGTGAGGCTCCCAATTTGAGTGCCTCAAGCTCAGATACGTGGGGCGGGAGGGGGGCAACTTCTTTTCAACCAAGTCATTAAGTATTTATTAAGTATTTATCGACTATTCCACACATTTGTCAGCCTCATGCTAGACATAATAAGGGCTACAAAGACACATAAAATATAATCCCTGCCCTCATGGAGCTTACACTCTGATCATCTAATCAACGGTCCATCCATTCTTGGAGTAGGAAAGTAGACTGCCCTTCCCAACACAGAGTGCAACCCTTCTCCAAGCAGAAGATGCCTCCACTTGCTTTCTTGGCACTTCCATTGCCCCGGTGTCTCAGCAAAAAAAAAAAACTCACAGACTTACATTATATAGACTAGATGCAAATGCATAATAGACCTGGATTTGAGATGGTCCTTACGTCTAATTTCTGCTTGGACTCTCTGCAAAGCCTTGTCAGCCTAATCAAAATGATTCTAAGACTCAGGAGTTTAAGTGAGATGCACATGAACCACATTCCTATCTTCTGTCCTGGCCTATCTACGATTCATTCATATCACTTAAAGGAAAGGCTTAATCCACTCTATGAGAGGAGGAAAGCAATGCAAAAGAAGTACACAAACATCTCTGTATTTTGAGAGCATGTTCAAAACATTCAAGTTTTTAAAAAATCCACAAAACCACAAAGTGATTAATTTAACATTATTTCCTTGCAATGTTGCCAAAAATAAAGTGAACAGACATACAGTGAACAAACACGGAAATGTGTCTTTCCATCTTGTTTTGGCACAACATATAATCATGATCAAAAGCAAAATCATCTCAAATCTGCAAGGTAATTATTTTAGGGTGTCTCCCCTAATTTTGAAGCAGAGGAACAACTTCTAATTGGAATCAAAGCTGGACTTTTAACAGAGCTATGGTACATAACCACCGGCTTCTATTGTCCAATTCTGAACAAAACATTCATCCTTTTTTTTTTTTTTTCAACTGAAACACCAGAAAACCGCCCAGGGCTTTTAAACTTGAGTCCCTGGAGAGAAACTACCATATGATTATTTTCCAGTACGATTTAGATTCTTCAGGCTGATATTACTGATTTTCTCCTGATACTCAGCTCTTCACTGAGAAAACTTTACTCATGCAAGGTCTTTCTTCTCTCAATTTTGTCCTCTGTATCCTTTTCTTATTTATATATTTATTTATTTAATCTATTTTTGAGATGGAGTCTTGCTATGTCACCCAGGCTGGAATACAATGGCAGGATCTCGGCTCCTTGTAACCTCTGCCTCCTGGGTTCAAGTGATTCTCCTGCCTCAGCCTCCCATGTAGCCAGGATTACAGCTATGTGTCACCATGCCTGGCTGATTTTCATATTTTTAGTAGAGTCGGGGTTTCGCCATGATGGCCAGGCTGGTCTTGAACTCCTGACCTCAGGTGATCTGCCTGCCTCGGTCTCTCAAAGTGTTGGGATTACAGGCGTGAGTCATCACACTCGGCCCCTCCATATCCTTTTCAAAACCCAAATCACTTTATGTTAACTGGACACAGATCGTTCCCCTACCCTCACCCCCCTCGTGCCATCTTTGTCTCTGTTTAAAACAGAAAAAGAAATCAGCCTAAGGAAAAAGCTTTGCAGAGTCCTCTCCAGTTTACTATTTTCTTCTTGAAGAACTTACGTTCATCTACATGTCAAGAGTCACATAATGAGGAAAACACTACTCCATGTATTTGAGAAAGGAAAGGAAAAGACTCCTTGTTTCATGCACAAGAACTAAAATAGTATGAACTCTGTAACCTTTAATCTCCCTGTAGCTTTAATCATGCCACTGCCAGGGGTCTGACATCATCTTCAATCAATAAAATAACTTTGTTTCTCCTGGGCACACAGACTGTCTCTGAAAATATTTGATAGGAAAAGAAAGAATAATTGTGGTTCTGTCTTTAAAAATGCAATTTGAATCTATATAATCAACTGTTCTATAACAACAACAGGAAAGCAAGGCCAAGCTAAATTCTTACTCCATTTGCAGTCATTGGCCTCTCTCAATACACCTGTGAGGTTGAGCCAAAACATTAATGAAAGCCTAGATGTTTCCCAAGACAAGTCCCAGAAAATCCACATTACAAGGTGGTCAGGACAGACCAAATTCCCACCCTTCAAATAAATTTTGCTATATGCCTATAAGATCTTCTTTCTATCTCCTCTTCTATACCCTCCCACATTCTGCCCCTACCTCTCATTCTACCCAACCAGGATAAAGAATCTAAGTCTAAGAAAGCTGTTTCTCTGCTAAATCTTGGTCAACTTGTTTCATCCAATTTGACTCCCTTATCTGGGCCAGTTCAAAGTTTTCCCTGTACCTATGTGTATGTATTTGTGCAAACACACACACACACACACACAACCTCTCACAAAAAGCGAGAGGCCCCAGTAAATTCTTACATTCTCTCAGGTTGGTCCATATTGTAGCCAAAGTACCCTAGAGAATACCTGTCCCAACACTCTTGCAACCTAAGATACCAATTCACTTCATCTGGGATGTGAAAAACAATGGTCCTTTTGCAGGTTATCTCTAAACTTTCAACAGGTAACGGGTAGGCATCATAAACACCGTGGCACAGAGTCTGGGCCTAGAGTCACACTGCCCAAGTTTAAATCCTGGATGTATGGCTAACAGACCTTGTACATGTCTCCTGATCTCCCAAATCTCAATTTCATCATCTGCAAAATAGGGATAATGGTGCTCATACTTCACAGGGTTGTTATAAAGATTACGGGAATTAATCCATGTAGAGTGCTAAGCATGGAGACTGGCACATAATAAGGCCTCAATAAAAGTAAGCTATCACTGTCACTGTTATTTCAAAGTAGCCTTTTTTTTTTTAGAAGTGTACAGCAATTTTATGGAGGTTTTTTTTTTTTTTTAAAGAAACTTAAAAAAAAAAAAAAAAAAAAAACCTTTATTTGCAACTCAGTCTACTAAACAGGGGTCCTTAGATCATTGAAACCCAGAACTGGAAAGGCTCTTGGGAGACCACCCAGTGGTCCTACCCTCTTCTTGTATAGATGAAGATGCCAGGGCCTCAAAGGGTAAGAGAGAGCCAGGACCAAAATGAAAGTTTTTATAATGCCTAGGGCAAGAACCCTTCCACTACAACATATTATCTAGCATTATTTGCCTGTACAAATAAGATGCTTAATAACTACTTATTACATAGAACTGACCCTGGTTTTAAAAGACTATAAACCTGCTTTAATGCTACCACTGATTTTCCAGTTCCATTGGAAGTAAAATGTTAATGGAAGGAAGGAAAATTCAAGGAGGTAAGGGGGAAGTGTTCAGCTAGAAGTACTACTATAGAAAGGCTTTGCAAATTCACTTTTTAGGCTAAGATGTGAGGTGGATTGAACAGCAACATGAACCTCCATGGATTGATGTCTCCAGGCCCCCTATTTCAGGTCTGTTCAATATCATACCAGCTTGGCATTTGCTCTTACTTAATTCTAGCATTAGTTCAAGAAAAGGCTTAAGAGAAGAGTCAGCCCCGACTCTTCTTTGTTCTTATCTCTACCTCTATGATATAGTTTGGAGGTATGTCCCTGCCCAAATCTCATGTTGAATTGTGAGGTTTGGTGGGAGGTGATTGGATCATGGGGGCAGATCTTCTTGGTGCTGTTCTGACAATGAGTTCTCATGAGATCTGGTTGTTTAAAACTGTGTGGCATCTTCCCCCGTTATCTCTTGCTTTTGCCATGTGATGTGCCTGCTCCCCCATCGCCTTCTGCCATGATTGCAAGCTTCCTGAGGCCCCCACCCCAAAGCCAAGTAGATGTTCGCACCATGCTTCCCATAAAGCCTGCAGAACTGTGAGCCAATTAAAACTCTTTTCTTTATAAATTACCCTGTCTCAGGTATTTATAGCAATGCAAGGACGACTTAATACACTCTATTGCAAATACCGCAATTATTTTTGCACCACCCTATTAGATTAGGTTGAAAAATTATTTTAAGAACCACAGCAAGGCCTTGGCATTTCCAAATCTTACTGAGGATCAGTGTGAGAGATCCGTTTCTGGGATGGTAACTCAAGGTCTTGGTCGTTTTTGGTCCTAGTTTGACTTTGCCTTGCTCTGAAGCAATTACCTTGAACATGTTTATAGGCAACAAAAGTGATCAACCCTGAAGTGGATGTGAGCAGTGACATACTGTGTAGCAAGGAGAATCCTGTTGCCATCTCCCTCTATTCCCCAGCACACACATCCATTCCCAAAGAGGAGTAGACTATGTCTTCATATCCCCTTCTTTATTATCTCAGGAAAAGTATAAAGGGTCCCTGTAATTAGATGGAGCCTAAAATGAGAAAAGTTTAAGAATATACCTAGAAGCTGCCTGCTTCACCAATCTCTAACCTCCAATGCCAGACCGCCCATTTTTCATGTCTACTTATATTTTATTTTACAAGTAATATAAGCACAGCATGCACATATTTTTAATAAAGAAAAAATCACTTATAATCCCAGCACCTCAACTTAAGCATTGTTAACATTATATTTCCTTTAGTGTTCCTATGTGTATTTGTGTTTTTACAAAGCAATGAATTATTAATAAGATGTAATTTTGGATCCTGCATTTTACCTCATAAATACTTTTTCCATGTTGTGGCATAACTTCATAACATCGTAATGGCTGCATAATAGTGCATTAAACAAGTGTATCAGCATTCACTTACCCGTTCTTCAATTATTAAGACATGTAAATTGCTTCCAATTTTATGCTAGTCTAAATAATGTTACAAAAACACTTTGTGATTGAACCTTTTTCAATACTGTAGGTTGTTTCTTCATGATAGAATCCTAGAAGTGAAACTGATGGGTCAAGAAGCATAAATGTTTTTAGACAACCCACTAAAAAATAAAATTAGCAAAACACCAGAGTCCCATGAAATCCCTCCCTCATTTAATGAAAAATTATCCTGCTCTCATTTTTCCACCAGGGCAGAGCAGGGCTCCTGGGAGGGAAAGAAGCCAAGAGAAGCAGTGTAGTATCCCAGTGGCTTGCGAAATGGCAGAGTGGAATGTGGGCTCCCCTGTGAATCCAGCTTGCATGCACTTGCCCCAAATTGCCACCCAGCCAAGAAGCTAATTAGTAAAAGCATCAGGTGGGTGAGAACAGGTTCATGGCCTGTAATAGCTTATATCATCTTTCATTTTTGCCCTTGGAAAGATCTGACAGTCAGCTTGAAGACATTCAGTTCTTGTGACCCAACCTGCTTACATTCTGAGAATTGAATTTGTCAGTTTTTAAATCCCAATCTTCAATATATCTTAAGGGACATTTTGCTTTATAGAACTAAGCAGGCATGATCAATGAGCCTGTGAGTGTAGCTCTATTTTCAGCCTCAGTTAAGGTGACACATTTAAGGTCAGTCCTGTTTAGTATTATATGACTAAGTGACACCTGTCTTAAATGGTCAATGTATTATAGACAGAGGTTTATTTTGCAGACCTGACCATAAAAGTCATCCAGTCCTAAAGCAGGGGAGGCAATAGGTCAGAGATGCCCCTGGCTTAGCAAGAGTGGACACAACAGGCATTCTTTCCGTGACTTCTTAGCCAGAACTCTCAAAATAAGGCAGTTCTGCTTTCTACCTTCTCTTTGAAGATTTTTCCCTAATCCCTCTCCATCTATTCCTGACCTCAACTCTGCTCAATATGGAAAATTTGCTGTGATAAGTGTCATCATAGAGAATTAATTTTCCATAAACTTTTATTGAGCACTTAACTGTAGCCAGACATTGTGCTAGGTAAGCCCTAGGGTGGCAATAAATAAATAAATAAATAAATAAAACAGAGCCCAGTCCTTGAGGAGCTCCCAGTCAGGCAGAGGAGGCCCAACTCAATAGGAGAACAGAGGTGTGAGCCGATAGCTCCAGCAACACATAGCGCTCTGCAAAAAACCCTGGGCTACCTGAAAAAGCTTCCAAGAGGAGGAAAACACCAAAAACCTATGAGCTGAGTAGAAGACATGGAATGTGATAACCAACTTGACAACAAAGATAGGTTGAGATATATCTTTGGGAGTCATTAGCATATGGATGACAGCTAAGGTCATAAGAGAAGACTAGACCATATTGACTAGGAACAGAACAGAACCCAGGATGAAACTAAACATGGACTTCTGGAAAAAAAAAAAAAAAAGGTCATTTAAGGGTTAGGTACTTTGTAAATGTGGGAGGGAAAGAAATTCCTTTATTTGTCCCCATGGCCTTTCCTCCCATATATCTCCAATCTAGACCTTGGAATACTCAGCTCCAGGGACAGAAATCCCCAGCTGTAGTGCGGAGAGAAAAAAAAGTTAACTCTCACCTTTTAAGCTTCTGAGTGCCCCGGTAGCAATCACCATTACGGGTTGAGCCAGAAATGGAAATGGAAGTTGCTAGACTGTAAGATCTTAGAGGGCATGGGCTGGGTGTGTGATTTTTCATTGTATCCATCCCAATACCTAAAACATTAACTGGTACATAAAATGTGCTTAATAGTTGCATTCTGAGTAAATAACTTTGCCAAAACTTTGCTAGAGGCCACAGCAGGAGAAGAAAACAAAGACAGACAAGGAATAACAACAATAATAATGTTATTGTTACCTTTAGTTTCTCAGCCTTCCTTCTAAGGAAACAAAAGCTCTTTCACTTCTGCTATTTTATTTGTCCTTCTCGGCAGCTCTGTGGGGGAAATAAAGGCAGATGTGATTAATTCCATTTTAGAACTGGAGAGGGAAGCTCAAGTCCAGAACAGATAGCTAATCATAACTAATTGGAACAGAATTTCACTGCTGCCCATTGGTAGGGCCAACATTGGAACCCAGGTCTTGTGACTTCCTTGGTTCTAAGACATAACCCTCCACAGAACTGCCTCTCCAGTTTTTGAGAGGACAGTTCACAAGAGAAATTCATTAGGAAAGCAAACTCCTGAAGCACTCCAACAGTATCTTGAGCAAGTGAGTGAGCTGCATCTGAAAGAAAGTAATCTGTTCCCTCACGTCAACACTGGGATGACTAAACCCAATTCCCAGTGGGGCTCTACTAACATAATTGAGAGCTCCCTGTTTTGCTGTGCCCCTTTTCAAGGGAGCCCCATCTGCCTTCAGTCTGGTTTTTGTGTCTGAGTGGGGCTCAGGTGCTGACTGCAGGTGTGGCATCCAGCAGGTGCATGGACAGGAGCCAGCATTTCATATCTTCATACCGAAGGGTCTGAGTCACTCTCTGAAGGCAGAAGGCAGCCCCTCCTCCTCCTGCTGTTGCCTTGCAAGCACAGGGAACCTGCCTTGCCTGTGGTGCCATTGCAGAACTGAATCTAAACCCTGCCTTCCCAAGAAGGACTAGAGTGAGATTAAACCACAAATCATATAACCCAGCTAACTTTGTCACTTGCACAAACTACTGCAGGCATACACCTACGCCGTAGGCACAGTGTCAGAGAACCTAGGTACAGAATGACCGTCACCTAAAGTGATGGGGGAAAGGAGGGCCACAACAGGCCCATATTTTGTATTTAGCTACACAGCATGGACTCTACTGCAAACGACTCTAAAATCTCAGAAGCAAATACCCCCTTAAAAAAAAAAAAAAAAGGTGGAGTACAGTAAAAAGAACCTGCTAGAAATCTTGCACTCCTGTTCTCACCATAACTTCTCTCCTTCAGGCTTCCAGGGGAGAACCGCTTAGCCTGGTCACAGAAAGCACCAGGTCAGAAAATTCATCATATTTCCCTAACAAAAGCCCAACTGGCAGCCTGAGGCAGATAGAATGTTCCTGGGAGTAAAGGGGGTCATCAAAATTTTCTTAGCTTCAAAAATTGTTTGCTTTAAAAAAAAAAAAATCTGCCTCCCCCACTCTCTCTCTCAGGCACACACACATAGACCAAAGAGAAACTAATTGTACAAGAAAAAAAAAATGAAATCTTACCTTAATAAAATGGTTTATTGTCATTTGTTCTATTTCTCTAATTCATACGGGAAATTCAAATAACCTTTGGTTTACAGTCCATGATCCAGAAAGCAAAACTGGCTACCACACTAAAATGTGATCATTGTATATAAACATAGTAAAACAAAAATCTGAACTGAAAATCTAAATGTAATAAAGAGGAAATTAGGTTTCTTCAAAACAGGCAATCTAAATAATTTTCCCCATCTGTGATTTTTATCTTAGTTTGCTATCACATGGAACAAATGTCACTAATTCAATGCAAATACATGCCCCTTGAAAACATCCAAAATGAGTAAGGGATGTACTAATTAGCTTCTAATGGGGAAGGTTTTAATTGAGCTATTCTTTAACAATCTTCATCAAAGTTTCCAGGGCAACTTCATAAAAGGATGTCAAACCTGGCCCATATTTTTATTCCCTTAAAAATAATTTTCAAAACACAGAAACACAGAAAGCTGATTTCTCTTCAATGCTGTTAACACTCAGGCCACTACATTTTCTGATGTCAGCAATCCCCTTCCCACAAATATTCCAAGTATGCACCACCGTCATTCTCCTTTCAATTATGTGGTTTCTCTGCTCCTTTACTGATTGAGTCCAGGCCTCTCGGATAATGAGAAGCATGTGCAGGGAAAATATGCTCTTAAAAAACACATACATCAGTTTTATCTGCATTATAAAGGGGAGAGCAGATCATTTGTCCACATCAAAAAGACTGAAATGTGAAGTTTGCTATGGGGTATATATAAGGGGAAAAAAAGATCTGTATCAATGCCTAAGGTTGGTAGAGGGGCGGCACAGTTATTGTGATCTGATGTGACACCAATAAGAATAAGGGAGACTCTCCACCAAATCCACCCTTTCTAGCTTGGCCACATTTATATTTCATGTTATCTTAATGTTTCTTTTGGGGGTATTTAAGTTCTGACATACACATGGAAATGAGCCACGAATTGTACAGCAAGCATAAATATTCCATCATTAATAAAAACCAGCTGTGTATAAAACGCTACAATGGCTGGGTTTCAGTTACTGGCTATCATCAGTATGTGTCACAAGCAAATATTACTGAAAACTTTCTCCCTTAAAACGCGCATGCGCACACACACAGACGTGTGCTTTATTCTTTTTCACCTTTTGGAGGAGCTTTGAAGAAGTCACTGATCTCTATAGTCCTTTTCAACTAATGTTTCTTTTTGAAGCTATTTTTCACCACCCTGTAAGATACTAGAGTTCTCTTATTTGTACCTCAACTTACCACACAGTACAAAACTGTTTAATATTTTTTTTTTTCAAAAAGCCGAGAGGGCCAATAATACAAATGGTGGGTTAATGGTAATTACAGTTAGTAAGGCAATGGGGCACCAAAGGGCACTGTATGTTATGAGAGAGCAAAGCTCATTAAAAAGGAACACCTGCTCAAGACCCTATAATAAGCCTGCTTTGCCATCATGCAAACACCTTTCATCCAATGACCTCAAAGCACGTGCCCAATATGAAGCATGCCGAAACACCTCTGTGAGGTATTAATATCCTTGCTTCCCAGAAGGGTAACTGAAGCTTAGAGCGGCTAATTCATTTACCCTTGGTCACATGGTAAGCCAGAGAAGGGCTGGGCAGAGAAAACCAGGTCCCGGCTTCAAGTCACACAGGCTAATGATATTTCACAGAGTTAGGGCAAGAGTGAAAGTGCCTTTACAAATGTCAAGGCAAACCCACAGACTTAAAAGAGTAGATTTTCAACAGCTGCCTTAGGAAACATTGGCAAATACATCCATTTGCATTTTCTCCAGGATCATATATTACCAAAAAAAAAAAAAAGGTCCTGTTCCTCATTTGGTACTTTCTAAATACTAAAAACCCGTACCGCACTTTCTACTCCAGTTAGAGAAATTTAATGTAATTTATGATGAGCCACTGGTTTCCAGGAATGAATCCATCAATTTTTTTTTTTTTTTTTTTTTTTTTTGCTCTTGTTGCCCAGGGTGGAGTGCAATGGCGTGATCTTGGCTTACTGCAACCTCCGCCTCCCGGGTTCAAGCAATTTGTTCCTCAGTTTCCCGAGTAGCTGGGATTACAGGCATGCGCCACCACACCCAGGTAATTCTGTATTTTTAGCAGAGTCGGGAGTTTCACCATGTTGGACAGGCTGGTCTCAAACTCCTGACCTGAGGTGATCTGCCCACCACTGCCTCCCAAAGTGCTGGGATTACAGGCGTGAGCCACCACGTCCGGTGAATCCATCAAATCTTAGAGATCACATGTATACCATACCTTTGTTATCAAAGGAAAATTAAAGAACTATGAAACTGAACTTTCACTACATGGTGAAGATCTCAGATGAAGAACCCATTACGCGTGGGCCATTCTGCTGCTGCACGTATTGTCTTTTATTTAAACTGTCTAAAATCCTTAGTTTCTTTGCTTTTAGTCTAATTTAAACGTATTATTTTCCATGCTATAAAACAAGTATATCTGTGCTGTCCTGCTTCTCCTTTCTCATTCTGAAGATTTCATAATCCACCCAAATTTGTACTCACTTGATGGCATATCACTATGCAGTGATTTAAAAATCATTGCCAATGATTTAGACAAGGTAAACAGTGGACCCTAGTTTTTGTTGCTGTTGTTGCTGTTGTTAACAAGAATGGGGGAGAGATAACAGGAGGTCAAAGGAATTAAATTAACAGCCTTGCTAGATACATGAACAATTCCTGAATCACAGAGTGTTTAGGGATTACTTATTATATCCATCAGCTTCTCCTGGCATTTGAGAAACAAAATATATGGGAGTCTTCATGTGTCCTCCATCAGATTCTGACTTCTTTCCTCCACATGGGTTTACAAAGCTAAGTCTTAGGTGGGCTCTTATTGAAAAGCAACATTGTATATATCTGTGGCTCCAATTTTCCAAAATTCATGTTAGTACAGGAACCGGGACTTGAAAGGAACTAGAAAAAATGAAAGCAGGTGATCTGTTAGGATGATGGAATTCTTGAAGTTTTGGATAGAGTCTTAGCTTCTTAATTTTGGGTTGTTAAAATATAAAACATGATGCATCTATATTCATATATCCTTACAGGATCTTTTTTTTTTTTTTTGACATGATGACTAGATGATTGAATTTCTAACAACGGTTGCACTTCATTCTAGTAGTAATCATTCACATTCATACTCGATATTGAGGCCTAGAAAGAAAACCATAAACTTATGAGACTGGCTCTCAAAATCACCCTGTCCAAATCCACAATTTACAGTGGAAAAAAAAAAAAAAACTTAACAGAGGTAGTAAACCGAGTTACGGTTGGGCCTAGAACCCAGGTCCTTCTCACCAGTAGGCTCACTAGGAAATCTTATTGCAGATTCTTAGGTTAAAAGTGGCATCAGTAGCCATTATTTACTAGAAATAACTTTCTAGATCCCTGGGTTAGTAAAATACAGTAACTGGAAATAAAATATTTTACCTATATGGGGTGGATAGTCTCATCCTTAGAACTGTTCAAAATCTATAAAGTCTGATTTATTTTCAAAAAGTAATACTAGCTTTCTTCTGCAAGCAGTTGTAGGCCGGAGCTAACGTGGCCAGTATTATTACAAGCCAGGATGATTTAGACAATTAACTAACTCCATTCCATATAACAAAAAGATTTCAAAGGCCAAATAATGGCCTCACTTAATTTAAGTGATAATCATTACAAATTCTTAGGCATTCCTTTATGCAATAAATATACTTCCGAGAAGGCCCAGTTAGAGTGAATTTTTATATATCAAGTCATAGTTTAAAGGCACTAACTAGGAAAGCTAGTACTTACAAAGAAACCTGTTGTGGATTCTTTTATAAAGCAAATGACCTCCTATTTTCTTTCTTTCTTTTTCTTTTTTTTTTTTTTTTTTTTGTTCAGATTGTGTGTGTTGTGTGTGGAAGGGGCGACTTCCCTCCTTTCTCTGGGTTAAAAGGGGTCAGAAGCCCACCATGGAGGAGAGTAATGCAGTATGGCTAGCCTGTTTAATACCCCCTTAGTTCCTGGGACAAAATTCTAACCTTTGACTTGGGGGTGGAACCCTAGATTTTGGACCAAAGTCCACAAAAGGCGGCAAGGAGGGAAAAGTAAGTAAGACTAAAGACAACACATCATAGTAAAACACCAACAAAAATTCCTGGGGACAGGAAATCAATGGATCACAATTCTAAACAAATTGGTTTAGTCCCCAGCTAATTAACTTGTCAAGCAGATCACTAAACCTACTGAATCCATGGGAGAAAGAGATGATGTAATAGGAGATTTGGAAACATTTACCCATTTACCATCCTAAAAGGCTCCACTACGACCACACACACCTCTCCCCACCCCTTTCAGTGTGTTTAAGCTGGGCTTAATGGGTGCAAAGGACAATTTCTACCAGACAGTCCCCAAGAATAGACTGTTCTCATGCATTCCAAATGCTCAGTCTCCATGGAGGAGGCTACCTGGTCGCAAGCATTTCCCAAGAGGGAATATATCCTCTATTTCTCCTCATTGGTAACAACTCCCCCACTCCACCCCCACGCCCCAAACAAAACAAAACAACTTCTAACCATCCTGAGAACTTCAGGCGACTTTTCTGGGGTAAAGGAAAAGAAGCGTTAAGAGGGGAACAGGAAAGTGTGAGAAACCCCTCTTGTCTCCAAATGGAAAAAAAGGCCTTAAAAAGCTGGATCAAAAGAAGAAAGGGGGATGGGGAAGAAGGGCCGCTTAATTACAAAGACACCCTTTTAAAGAAGGCGCAGGCCCTGGGAGAGGGCTCTTGGGAGAGGCACAGAAGCAGATGTACCCACTTAGAATTCTGGCACTCAATGGGACCTCAAGGTCATAGTATCCATCCCCCTGCCTTCTGATTAGGCTATTCTTAAAGTATTCTAGAGTCTGATGTGGTCTTTACAAAACCTCAGAAAGAAAAAGCAACTCTACAAATGTCCTAGTTGGGAATTAGTCTAATAAATCCAAATTCATAAACCAGAAATGAGATTTTAATTTCCAAATCCAAAACTGCATCGACTATGAATTATTAAAATTCCCTTTCTAAAATCTTTTAAATAGGTAAACAGATCTGCAAATTTCATGTAAAAGTGACTCCACATCCAATTGTGGTCAGAGGCTTACTTCACATCTAGACCATGAAGGTAGAAAAAGCACTTTCAATTTTACAAAGTCACAAACTTTTCCAAGGAAAGAAGTAATTTAAAATGAAGTATGATGTAGTGCCAGAAAGTGTCTGTCAATGACGCCGGATAAACCCATACAGAATAGCTGGAACCTGAGTTATCATCTGTAAATAGAGGCAACTACTCTACAACCACCTGGCTGTTAAAATGTCCCAGGCTAGTTATAAAATGTAGTTTGGTCAGGCCAGCTTTTCCCTCCCAGCTGATCTGAAACAGGATAGCCTTTAAAATTGTCACCCTGTAACGTTCCTTCTTTACCTTCCTACTTTCCTTTCCCTCATTAAAATCAACCAAAGTTAGTTTTAAATGTATGTAAATAATGTGTTCCCAAATAAGCAATAGGTTAAGGATATCTCAGTATTAAGTCTTTGAACACCATCACTTACAACCTTGACGCACTTGTCCAGTTGAAGATAGGTGGGAGATGGATGAAAATGTATACCACATTCAAAATGGCATTTCAAACTATTCTTAGCTACTAAATGAGGGTGCTGAAAGGTCTAACTGAGAAGGCTTCACAAAGGCTGGCCTGAGAAAGAACTTTTCACAAAGCGTAGCTCAAGGAGACTTAAATACCCTTAGCCCTTCATCATTGAAGATTATGGTGACTAATTATCTTCCTCTCTCAAGGGGAGAAGAGCGTTATATTCATAAAAGTTTTAAACTGCCTCCCAACTTCCACTCTTCATGGCGGGGAGGGAGTATAACTGAACTAAACATCCCAGGTTGTTGAAAAATTCGTTCTAAAACATACACTAGAGATTGAAAATGCTGTTTCTCACCAACTTTCTCTTTTCTTGCTCATTTAATTCTATTTAGTCCCTTTATGCAAATTATTATATTATTATTAGTAGCAATTTACCAGGAACTGCTCACAGTCTATTGAAGACTGCTATTTTCCCTCCCACTTTTCTTTCTCTTCATTTTCACATACCCATGAAGCCCATCTTACTGTTGAAGCACCAACGTGCAGTGGCCCAGGCTTGGACCCTCAAGACACCTGCCTGATTCTCCAAAACTATTTACTAACATCTTTGAATCTTCTAAGCAGATAGGGGCAACTCCCTCCTCACCATTACTATCACCACCACAGGCACCACAAACACCACCACACATCTCAAAGAGTAGCCTTGTGTTTTAGATTACACAGACTTTAAAACTTCAAGAATTCACGGTCCTACCCCTCCTGCTCCCGCCTCAGGGAGTGTGAGTCCCCACCCCAAGCCTAAGCACTTAGGAGAAACCTATCTAGTTATCTGAGATAAGCACTGACATGCATGCTGGGTTAAATGTAGATTTCAGCTTCCCTCGGGTCTTTAGCTCCTCCATGTGATTAATTACCTAGAGACCCACAAGAACCCCAGGAGGTAAGGAAGTAAAAGTACCAACTAGTAGTGGTACCCACTAGCATCTCCTCACCTAAGTAGGACGGGAAAGCAGCGCACACTCTAACCGATTTAACTTGCTGCACATCCAAAAAAACTAATGGCGAGCTGCAAAGAAAGTAGAACACACAGACGTTCCCACACGCGCCTAGATCGATTCACTCACGCCGAGGGCACGACCAAGTTCATGCCACCATGGATTCCTGCCCCAGTTCCCCGCGAAAAGTAACCACGCGTCTCCTACCCCTGAAGGCAACGAAGACAAGGTGACGACTCTCTGCTCGCTCAAGTGGCTTCGGTCCCGGGCCAGCGGCCAGGGATGGGCAGGGGGGAAGCCCCAACTCCCGGCTGCTCCTCTCCTCGCTGCTCCGTCCGGGCTCTCCTTGGTGGCAGTGGACAGGCAGGATACCGGGCCAGAGGGTGGAGCAGCGGATGGTCGGAGGCGAGACTGACTGGAGGTGGTGGTAGTTGGGGGGGGAGGCGGAGAGAACTAAGAGAAGAGGAGGCGAAAGAGAGAGGAGACGGAGGAGTAATTCAGGGGGTCTACCAGTTTAGGCAGCCAGAAAGCTCCTCGGAAGGAAGGGGCGTGACTGCCAAGGCAGCTCCTGGGCAAAGGATGGGAGGTAGGGGAGGGGGACGAACGGGTGGCTTTTCTTCTTGCGGTGAGCGGCTAGGACCGCCCCGGAGCAGGGCGGGGGGGGGGGGGGGACTAGGGAGGAAGGCGGGGTAGAGGGCGGGGAAAGAAGGGCGGGAGCCTGCCTGGACCCTGGAAGTGAGGAGTGGGGGGAGCGCGGAAGAGAGGCGGGGCCGGGGGGCGGGGAAGTTTCAAACAATTGAACTGCGGGGTCCGGGAGCTCGGGCGAAAGCAGGGGACCCTCGCTCTCGCCTTCCCACTAGAGGGGCACGACTCGGTTGCCGTAGCCGTGAGAGTCTGCGCCGTGACTGGCTGGGAAGAAGGAAAGGGTTTTGCAAAAGACTACAATAATAATCTGCGGCAACTGCGCGGCATAGTCGCGTGGGAGAGGCAGTGCAGCTCCCCGCCCCACTGCTGGAGGAAGAAAAACAAATAATAGAAATGCTGAAAAGCACCTTCCACCAAAGCCTGCTTAAAATAATGCAGGAAAGAGCAGTGCTCCTTCGTTTTCCTTCCCCTCTTGCTTCCTATTACCAGCAGGCCCCCACCCAGGTCACAGCTCTGCGAGACACCCTCCTTTCTTCCTCCGCTCCCCCACCCCGGGCGCTTGCCCCGCTCCCGTTGGCGGGCCGCAGAAGCTGAGGGGCGAGGGAGGAGGGGTCGTGGGCGGGGCTCTGCAGAGGCTCCGCCCCTGGGCGGGCTGGGAGCGCCGGCCTGGGGGGAGTGGGCCCCTGAAGCGTAAGTCCCGCCCACCATTCTTTTGCAGCTACCCGTTGGCCCGGCCTGGCCTAGTATACGCTTGCGATTGGGCCCTGGAGTCGCCAGTCTGATCCCTTTGTCCCACCCGTCCTCAAAATTAATAAAACTAAACAAGAGGCTATTGTGTAGTTCTGTGTTCTACCCCAGCTACTGCTGGGAAGAGAAAGATGAGACGCTTTATTTCTCAGTCTCATAAAAGAATGCAACAGTGTGTCGGTCGACTCTGGTACGCCTTTAAGTTTATGGTAGTGTCCAGCTCTCTGCGAATAGGTAACTTTTCTTCCCCCTTAATTCATTAAATCAGGAGGGGGGAAAGTACACGAAGTGTCATTGTGGTGGTCTGCTGGCTGCGAAAAAAACTGACATTGGTTAAAAACAAGAGAGGGCTGAGAACAGCATCCTGGGACACGGAAAATCTACCATTTTACATCTGGGAAAACGAAGGCACAAAGAAACAGTATCCGGGTAGCAAAATAACACGGAATTTGGAACCAAAGGAAGAATTCATTTGGGGCCCTGGCACTTGCTAGCTAATTGTGTGACTTCTCTTAAGTGGCTTAACTTCTCAGCCTTAACTTTTCTACCTATAAATAAATGCTGTAAGACATGCCCTATTAACTTAAAGGCACTGATGTGAAAATGTGTGTGAAAACTATAAAGCACTCCACATATGTATGTGTTCCTACTTGTGTATGACACATAATGGAGAGTCTTAGATGTGTTAGGGGACCAATATTCTGCTCATCTGTTTTAAGCATTTACATCCAAGGTCGTGTAGGTTTTGTGGCTTTATTTTAAAAAGTCAACTCTTTTCCTACAATTTTGGGGTGGATATGAAGTTGACTCCCTGCAGTTAGAATAATAAATTACCCCTTTTCTAAGCAGGGTGGGTGAGATTTCTTTTTTAACGTTCAACAGTTTCATGACAACTTAAAGCTATTGTGGTTCTGGTACTGAAAGAGGAAATCATGCTGTGTATCTCCGAAGTGAACTTGAGAAAACAAATATGAAGGAACATTTACCATGGAAACCACCATTCTCTACAGATCCATATTTCCTAGAAAACATTTCAAGTAGGAAACAAGCCTAAATGTAAAGGCCTTGACAGCGCAAGGCTATTATAATGACTCATGCCAATGAAAGAGTGACATCCAATTCAAGCCTGCCTAATGGGAGCCATCTGGGGGGCCATGGATCAAGGCATGCAAGAGGAAGTGTGCTTAAAGGAAACACTATCACACAGTAAATAGGGGCTCAGAATCCAACTCTGACTGCAGGAAAAGCAGTGGACGATTGCATGTCATGGAGTGTGCAGGAGCTGTGGAAAGATTCAGAAGCAGGAGTGTGCACAAAATGATTATCGTTATGGTTCCGTTTATGTATGAAGTGAGGTTATTTGGGTGATTTTTCATGGAGAAAGGGAGTTTTTGAATGTTCAAGATATGGAGACACCTGGTTTGTGAAGCAAGGAAAGATTATTTCAGCCTTGTTATTTGGAGTAGACAGGAGAGCTAGATGGGGGGCCAGGTAAATGCTGCAGGACTACTACCCTACCTATCACAGTGGCAACAGGATATTTGTTAAAATCAATGCTGTCCAAGTGAAAAAAGTTAAACATGCACATGGAAAAATTCAGATAAAACTACTGGTCTGGGCACGGTGGCTCACGCCTGTAATCCCAGCACTTTGGGAGGCTGAGGCGGGTGGATCACTTGAGGTCAGGCGTTGGAGACCAGCCTGAACAATATGGTGAAACCCCGTCTCTACTAAAAATACAAAAATTAGCCGCAGGTGGTGGCACGCACCTGTAGTCCCAGCTACTTGGGAGGCTGAGACAGGATAATTACTTCAACCTGGGAGGCGGAAGTTGCCGTGAGCTGAGATCGCGCCACTGCACTGCAGCCTGGGTCAGAGAGCGAGACTCGTCTCAAAAAACAAAACAAAACAAAACAAAAACACCAAACAAAAAAGTACTGAAAGACTACAGTGAAAAAGTTTTTCTCCACCACTCTGCTCCCATAGTCCCATTCTCTTTATGACTGTATGACATCTTACAAATAGATTATTTGCATATTCAAGCTTGAGTGCGTATTCCCTTTTTGTTCCTTACAAGTGGAATCATTAATCATGGCACACCTTGCATTTCTATACTCAACAATGTATTTGAAATATTCTTCCATCTCAGGATAACTATGTTTACCTTATTTATTTTATTATAACTTAGTATTCTATTGCATAGCTGTGCCAAAATTCCTTTACTCATGACTCATTCCCTTATTAAATGGGGATTTGGGAGCCAGACACGGTGGTGGCACATGCCTATAGTTCAAACTACTAGGGAGGTTGAGGGAGGGGAATCCTTTGAGGCCAGGAGTTCAAGGTCAGCCTGGGCAACATAGCAAGACTCTATCTCTAAAAAAAAAATGGAGGCAAATTTGGGCTATTTCCCATATTTTGCTACTATGGAAGATGCTATTTAAAAAAAAAATCCTGGTAACAAAGGCCTGGTGGCCACATTTGTTGTATACCTGCCCCTAGTCTTGAAATTACCTTCAAAACACTTTTCTAACATGCTTTCCTTTCCCCACAGGGACTGGTGCTGTAGAGCAATGGACCGGAGCAATGGAAACCTCTAAAACACTTAATTCCTTTAACATCCACTCCTCAAACCCTGCTTGGTTATTACTCTTCTCCAAATTTTGATGGAGTAGAGTTAGCAGAACTCTGAACTTAATGGTGAGTCACGCTGTGTGCAAGTCACTTCTTAACCTGTGGCAAACAGTTTTTTGGCACTTCTGTTTAACCCAGGTCTTCCAAGCCTTCTATCCTGCCACGCAAGACTTCTTTGTTTTCACCCTGAAAACCTTTCAGTTTGTTTAAACCGAGTTGAGTTTGGATTTAAAGCTATGCATTGCCTGCACTACTTAAAAGAGAGGGGGAGGGGGAGGCCAACATCAACAAACATTGATTGAGCTGCTCTTATAGACAGTACTGAAAAAACAGGCATGAGACTTAGCTCCTGCCTTCAAGGATATAAAAAGACAACTAACAAGCATGTGCTAAGTGCCAAATGAATGGTATTGACAGTAAAAGTTGTGGAAGTTAAGAGCAGAGAGTGAAAACTAGTTCCAGAGAGTTAGTTTTTACAACAAACTGTGCCACACACATTTGACTAATCCCCACAGCATCCCTGTGTCTTCATATCCTGACTATAAAGTATAGAAAGCCCTCTGGGGAAGACCAGGAAAATTAACCACTAGCTGTAAAACACCTGTGTAAAGACACTGGGTTGCCTAGATACTATACATTAAAAACCTCCATATAACGATATGGAAAAAAGGAGGATCATTTTAAGCTCAGAAGTCAAGATTCCTCATCCCAAACTACCTGTCCTGTTTGACTTTTATTTTTTATTTATTTTTTATTTTTTTGGGACAGAGTCTTGCTCTGTTGCCCAGGCTGAAGTGCAGTGGCGTGATCTCCTCTCACTGCAAGCTCCGCCTCCCGGGTTCACACTATTCTCCTGCCTCAGCCTCCTGAGTAGCTGGGACTACAGGCGCCCACCACCACGCCCAGCTAATTTTTTGTATTTTGTTTAGTAGAGAAGGAGTTTCACCGTGTTAGCCAGGATGGTCTCAATCTCCTGACCTCATGATCTGCCCACCTCAGCCTCTTAAAGTGCTGGGATTACAGGCGTGAGCCACCGCACCCGGCCGACCTTTATTTTTTTTCTTAAAATATGCCTTTATTGCACAATAAAAATCAACATTTGTGCTGTACAAAATAAAGTCCATTGAAAAAAATCAAATGTCTACCTTGAAAACATTACACAAAATGAAATAAGCCAGATACAAAAGGACAAATATTGTATGATTCCACTTACATGAGGGATCTGGAATGGGTAAATTCATAGAGATAGAAAGTAGAGTAGTGGTGATCAGGGACTGGAGAAAGAGGGAGTGGGAAGTTAGTGTTTAATAGTACAATTTCTGTTTGGGATGATGAAAAGGTTTGGAACTAGATAATTGTGATAGTTGTGTAATATTTTGAATGTACTTAAAGCCACTGAATTGTACACGTAAAAATTGTTAAAATGGTCAATTTTGTTATGTATCTCTTACCATACACACACACGCACACATACACATGCACACACACACACAAGGTAATAACCCTTAGGCTTAGTGTCAGGAGACAACGCCAGTGATAGGGGTTGCAAGAAGGCAGAACTCATGTGAAAGGGGCAGCCTGATTGCCACTCCAGGGAAGTGCAGTCCAATGTGACCAGCTTCTGAGTTTTCAAGAGAAACCAGAAGTCAAATGTTTTTAATATAAAATCTCCAGTTT